GTTACACACACACACACACACACAACTGTTACACACACACACACACACACACTGTTACACACACACACAACACACACACCTGTTACACACACAACACACACACACACACAACACACACACAACAAACACACACACACAACTGTTACACACACACACACACAACACACACACACACACACACACACACACACACACACACACAACAACACACACACACACACACACACACACACACACACACACACACACACAACACACACACACACACACAACACACACAACTGTTACACACACACACACACTGTGTTACAACACACACACACACACACACAACACACACACACAACTGTTACACACACACACAACAACTGTTACACACACACACAACTGTTACACACAACACACACACACACAACTGTTACACACACACACACAACTGTTACACACACACACACACACACAACTGTTACACACACACACACACACACACACACAACTGTTACACCACACACAACTGTTACACACACACAACACACACACACACACACACAACTGTTACACACACACACACACACACACCACACACACAACTACACACACACACACACACACACACACCACACACACACACACAACACACACAACTGTTACACACACACACACACACACACACACACACACACACACACACACACACACAACTGTTACACACAACACACACACAACACACACACACACACAACTGTTACACACACACAACACACACACACAACTGTTACTCACAACTGTTACACAACACACACACACACACAACTGTTACACACACACACACACACATGTGTGGGCAGGGATAGAAGGGGGCAGGGTTATAGGGGGCGGGGTTATAGGGGCGGGTTATAGGGGGCGGGGTTATAGGGGGCGGGGTTATAGGGGCGGGGGGTTATGGGGGGCGGGGGGGGGGGTTATAGGGGGCGGGGTTACCTGCTGCACCAACGCGTGGGGCACAGTTTCGGGGAAGGCGGCGAAGGCGGCGCGGAGGGGCGGGCACTTCCTGTAGAAGACTTTGAGTGACAGCAGGGCCATGCAGGTGCCCTGACTCTGCAGCGCCAGGTGAAGCCCCGCCCTCGTCAGACCGTCCAACGGCAGCAGCCGAGTGTTGGAGCGCCGCACCCCGTCCCCCCCGCGCCGCAGCAGGAAGTCCGCCGCCACCGTCGCCACCTTCACGAAGGGCTCCGGGGGGGCGGAGTCTGCGGCGGCGCCGGGGGGCGTGGCCTGATCCGACTCAAACAGGAAGACGGTGAAAGTCTCTTTACACTGACGCTGGTTTAACGACGAACACTCCATCATGGTGAACCTGGAAGAAAGACCGAGGTTAGACCAGGACCAGGACCGGACCAGGACCAGAGTGAGACCGGACCAGGACCAGACCAGGACCAGACCAAGACCAGGACCAGACCAGGACCAGGACCGGACCGGACCAGACCACCAGACCCAGACCAAGACCAGACCAGACCAGGACCAGGACCAGACCAGGACCAGGACCAGACCCAGACCAGGACCAGACCAGGACCAGGACCAGAGTGAGACTGAAGGTTTTTCACACTGACATCAGTTGTTGTTTGGGTCCAGTTGAACCAGAAACTTTTAGCCGAGTTGTTTTTTTGTTGCAGCAAACGAACCGAGACCTGAAAATAAGACGACGTCTCAGTCCGTTTGATTCTGCACCAAACGCCAAACCACCTGGTGTCACAGAGACGACCTGCAGTCACAGAGACGACCCGGTGTCACAGAGACGACCTGCAGTCACAGAGACGACCTGCAGTCACAGAGACGACCCGGTGTCACAGAGACGACCTGCAGTCACAGAGACGACCTGCAGTCACAGAGACGACCCGGTGTCACAGAGACAACCTGCAGTCACAGAGACGACCCGGTGTCACAGAGACGACCTGCAGTCACAGAGACGACCTGCAGTCACAGAGACGACCTGCAGTCACAGAGACGACCCGGTGTCACAGAGACGACCTGCAGTTACAGAGACGACCCGGTGTCACAGAGACGACCTGCAGTCACAGAGACGACCTGCAGTCACAGAGACGACCTGCAGTCACAGAGACGACCCGGTGTCACAGAGACGACCCGCAGTCACAGAGACGACCCGGTGTCACAGAGACGACCCGGTGTCACAGAGACAACTCGGTGTCACAGAGACGACCTGCAGTCACAGAGACAACCTGCAGTCACAGAGACGACCCGGTGTCACAGACGACTGTCCAGAGAGTCACAGAGACGACCCGGTGTCACAGAGACGACCCGGTGTCACAGAGACGACCTGCAGTCACAGAGACGACCCGGTGTCACAGAGACGACCTGCAGTCACAGAGACAACCCGGTGTCACAGAGACGACCCGGTGTCACAGAGACGTGTCAGAAATGTTCCAGTTGGACTAGATCCAAAGCAGAGTTCTGACCCGGCAGGATCAGCTCTGGTTCTGTCCAGGTCAGAGGAGCTTCGACCTGAGAAGAACTTTCCTCAAGAACCAAAAGAACGAAGAACGAACTCAGAACAACATGAAACCAACAAACTGGACTCACGCTTCTGTCCAGACGCAGAACCACCTCAGAACCACCACAGAACCACCTCAGAACCACCTCAGAACCACCACAGAACCACCTCAGAACCACCTCAGAACCACCACACAACCACCTCAGAACCACCTCAGAACCACCACAGAACCACCTCAGAACCACCTCAGAACCACCACAGAACCACCACAGAACCACCTCAGAACCACCTCAGAACCACCTCAGAACCACCACAGAACCACCTCAGAACCACCTCAGAACCACCACAGAACCACCTCAGAACCACCTCAGAACCACCTCAGAACCACCTCAGAACCACCACCACAGAACCACAGAACCACAGAACCACCACAGAACCACCACACCACAGAACCACCTCACAGAACCACCTCAGAACCACCACAGAACACCACAGAACCACCACAGCACCACCACCTCAGAACCACCTCAGAACCACCTCAGAACCACCTCAGAACCACCACAGAACCACCTCAGAACGACCACAGAACCACCACAGAACCACCTCAGAACCACCACCTCAGAACCACCACAGAACGACCACAGAACCACCTCAGAACCACCACAGAACCACCTCAGAACCACCACAGAACCACCTCAGAACCACCTCAGAACCACCTCAGAACCACCACAGAACCACCTCAGAACCACCTCAGACCACAGAACCACCTCAGAACCACCACAGAACCACTCAGAACCACCACCTCAGAACCACCTCAGAACCACCACAGAACCACCACAGAACCACCACAGAACCACCACAGAACCACCTCAGAACCACCAAACACAGAACACCACCACAGAAACCACCACAGAACCACCACAGAACCACCTCAGAACCACCACAGAACCACCACAGAACCACCACAGAACCACCTCAGAACCACCACAGAACCACCACAGAACCACCTCAGAACCACCTCAGAACCACCTCAGAACCACCTCAGAACCACCTCAGAACCACCTCAGAACCACCTCAGAACCACCACAGAACCACCACAGAACCACCTCAGAACCACCACAGAACCACCTCAGAACCACCTCAGAACCACCAAACAACCACCACAGAACCACCACAGAACCACCTCAGAACCACCTCAGAACCACCTCAGACCACCCAGAACCAACACAGAACCGATGCAGTCCTCGAGCACAGAGGACAGGAGCGGCCCGCCCGGACCTGCAGCCCGCCCGGACCTGCAGCCCGCCCGGACCTGCAGCCCGCCCGGACCTGCAGCCCGCCCGGACCTGAGGTTCACTGCACATTCTCACTTTCACCACATTTAACCAGCGCACGGACGACGGCACAGAACCACTCAGACCCAGTTGACCTGCTCGTCCCGTCTAGAACCAGAACAACAGACTCCAGACCAACACACGAGGACGACACAAGACCAAGGACCAGACCCCAGGGTCTGTGGTCTGTGGGTCTGTGGTCTGTGGGTCTGTGGTCTGTGGGTCTGTGGTGTGGGTCTGTGGGTCTGTGGGTCTGTGGGTCTGTGTGGTCTGTGGTCTGTGTGGGTCTGTGGGTCTGTGGGTCTGTGGTCTGTGGGTCTGTGGGTCTGTGGGTCTGTGGGTCTGTGGTGGTCTGTGGTCTGTGGGTCTGTGGTCTGTGGGTCTGTGGGTCTGTGGGTCTGTGGGTCTGTGGGTCTGTGGGTCTGTGGTCTGTGGTCTGTGGGTCTGTGGGTCTGTGGGTCTGTCTGGGTCTGTGGGTCGTCTGTGGTCTGGGTCTGTGGTCTGTGGGTCTGTGGTCTGTGTGGTCTGTGGTCTGTGGTCTGTGGGTCTGTGGGTCTGTGGTCTGTGGGTCTGTGGGTCTGTGTGGTCTGTGGTCTGTGGTCTGTGGGTCTGTGGGTCTGTGGGTCTGTGGGTCTGTGGTCTGTGGGTCTGTGGTCTGTGGGTGGGTCTGTGGTCTGTGGGTCTGTGGTCTGTGGGTCTGTGGGTCTGTGTGGTCTGTGGGGTCTGTGGGTCTGTGGGTCTGTGGGTCTGTGGGTCTGTGGGTCTGTGGGTCTGTGGTCTGTGGTCTGTGGTCTGTGGTCTGTGGTCTGTGGGTCTGTGGGTCTGTGGGTCTGTGGGTCTGTGGGTCTGTCTGTGGTCTGGGTGGGTCTGTGGGTCTGTGGTCTGTGGGTCTGTCTGGGTCTGTGGGTCTGTGGGTCTGTGGTCTGTGGGTCTGTGGTCTGTGGGTCTGTGGGTCTGTGGGTCTGTGGGTCTGTGGGTCTGTGGGTCTGTGGGTCTGTGGGTCTGTGGGTCTGTGGGTCTGTGGGTCTGTGGTCTGTGGGTCTGTGGGTCTGTGGGTCTGTGGGTCTGTGGGTCTGTGGGTCTGTGTGGGTCTGTGGGTCTGTGGTCTGTGGGTCTGTGGGTCTGTGGGTGTGGGTCTGTGGTCTGTGGGTCTGTGGTCTGTGGGTCTGTGTGTGGTCTGTGGGTCTGTGGGTCTGTGGGTCTGTGGGTCTGTGGGTCTGTGGTCTGTGTGTGGGTCTGTGGTCTGTGGGTCTGTGGGTCTGTGTGGTCTGTGGGTCTGTGGGTCTGTGTGGGTCTGTGGGTCTGTGGTCTGTGGTCTGTGGGTCTGTGGTCTGTGGTCTGTGGGTCTGTGGTCTGTGGTCTGTGGGTCTGTGGGTCTGTGGGTCTGTGGGTCTGTACACACCATCGTCCTGAACCTGGAACACAGACCGAGACTAGACCCAGACCAGGACCAGGACCAGAGAGAGACCAGGGTTAGATCAGGACAAGGACATGGTTCAGTCCTGGTCCAGTCCCGGTCCTGGTTCCAGTCGTGGTGCAGTCCCGGTCGTGGTCCAGTTGTGGTCCAGTCGTGGTCCAGTCCCGGTCCGGTCCCGGTCGTGGTCCGGACCCGGTCCCGGTCGCGGTCCAGTCGAGGTCCGGTCCCGGTTGTGGTCCAGTCCCGGTCGTGATCGTGGTCCAGTCTCGGTCGTGGTCGTGGTCCCGGTCGTGGTCCGGTCGCGGTCCGGTCCGGTCCGTGTCCGGTCCGGTCCGGTCCCGGTCCGGTCCGGTCGCGGTCCGGTCCGGTCGCGGTCCGGTCCCGGTCCGGTCCCGGTCCGGTCGCGGTCCCGGTGCAGTACCTGATCTCCACGTAGAGGGTGGTGGCGCTGTGGCGTGGGACCCAGTTGGTGCGGAGCCAGTGGGAGGTGGCGCTGTGGGGGGTGCAGATCTCGAAGGTCCGGACCGTGTTCCTCTCGTCGTCCAGGACGCTGACCTCGTCCCACTGAGGGTCATCGCCCGGATACACGCTCCAACGGAGGTCAGAGGTCGACTGCCTCGTGTCCAACAGCACCTCTGAAACACAACACGGTTTAGACCTGGTTTAGTCCTGGTTTAGACCTGGTTTAGACCTGGTTTAGTCCTGGTTTAGACCTGGGTTTTAGTCCTGGTTTAGACCTGGTTTAGTCCTGGTTTAGACCTGGTTTAGACCTGGTTTAGTCCTGGTTTAGACCTGGTTTAGACCTGGTTTAGTCCTGGTTTAGACCTGGTTTAGTCCTGGTTTAGACCTGGTTTAGACCTGGTTTAGACCTGGTTTAGACCTGGTTTAGACCTGGTTTAGTCCTGGTTTAGACCTGGTTTAGTCCTGGTTTAGTCCTGGTTTAGACCTGGTTTAGTCCTGGTTTAGTCCTGGTTTAGACCTGGTTTAGTCCTGGTTCAGTCCTGGTTTAGTCTGTAGTTGTTAAAGTTTGTGTCATGAATCAGTCCAAAGTGCCAATGTCTCCTGGAATGTCCCACAGCGCGGCATTACATCCAGTCCGTGACAGGTGCAGTGTTCCAGGCAAAGCCACGTCTCCACGGAAACGAGCAGACGGTGGGTTTGAGGTGTGAAAGTGACAGAGTGCAGCTTTAACGTCCTGATCTGCTCCACGTTAAACACAAATGAGAAACGAGCGCCGCCTGATCCGCGCCGCCTGATCCGCGCCGCACAGGCCCCGGGCGCACGCTGATGATGTCACCACCACAACACCACAATGATGTCATCCTCCTGCTGCGGGCGCCACAGACACCAGAACTAAACCAGGACTAAACCAGGACTAAACCAGGACTAAACCAGAACTAAACCAGGACTAAACCAGGACTAAACCAGGACTAAACCAGGACTAAACCAGGACTAAACCAGGACTAAACCAGACTAAACCAGAACTAAACCAGGAGTAAACTAAACCAGGACTAAACCAGGTCTAAACCAGGACTAAACCAGGAACTAAACCAGAACTAAAACCAGGACTAAACCAGGACTAAACTAAACCAGGACTAAACCAGAACTAAACCAGGAGTAAACCAGGACTAAACCAAAACCAGGACTAAACCAGGACTAAACCAGAACTAAACCAGGACTAAACCAGGACTAAACCAGAACTAAACCAGGAGTAAACCAAGACTAAACCAGGTCTAAACCAGGACTAAACCAGGACTAAACCAGGACTAAACCAGGACTAAACCAGGACTAAACCAGAACTAAACCAGGACTAAAACCAGGACTAAACTAAACCAGGTCTAAACCAGGACTAAACCAGAACTAAACCAGGACTAAACCAGACTAAACCAGGACTAAACCAGGACTAAACCAGACTAAACCAGGTCTAAACCAGGACTAAACCAGAACTAAACCAGGACTAAACCAGACTAAACCAGAACTAAACCAGGACTAAACCAGAACTAAACCAGACCAGACTAAACCAGGACTAAACCAGGACTAAACCAGACTAAACCAGAACTAAACCAGACTAAACCAGGACTAAACCAGGACTAAACCAGGGACTAAACCAGGACTAAACCAGAACTAAACCAGGACTAAACCAGGACTAAACCAGGACTAAACCAGGACTAAACTAAACCAGGACTAAACCAGGACTAAACCAGAACTAAACCAGGACTAAACCAGGACTAAACCAGGACTAA